CCCCGCCCTCTCCTCCCCCTCTCCCTCCCTCAGACCTCGCCGCCCCGCCCACATCGCCGATGCCCCTCAGACCACACCGCGGTGGACCTCTCTCCTCCCACGCCCGCGTTCTTCCTCCCCCAACACGCCCCCGCTCGGCCCCGCACGCCTAGGCGGCTTCCACCAACCACGGCGACGGCGCAGCGGCCACGGAGGAGGGCGGCGGGTCAGCGGCGCCGGCGATGGCGTTCGTGGCAGCGGTAGAGGGCGCGGTCGCGGTGCTCCGTTCGGTGCTGTTGCGCGCACAGCAGGCGGCGACGCGGCTGGGGCGCGCGTCGGAGTCGGTGCGCGTGGTGGCGGTGAACAAGACGAAGCCCGTGGGCGTCACCGCTGCTTCGGCTAGAACTACGTCCACGAGCTCATCGACAAGGCCCCCCAGGTTGTACCCCCAGCTGAGAAGAATGAAATTTTTATCCCCTTTCACCGCGTGAAAGAACTGCTGATTGGAACATGAATGGAAAACAAGTCACTCTCTCTCTCTCTCTCTCTCTCTCTCTCTCTCTCGTGCTTCTGCTCGCCCGGGATGCAGCTCTTCAGTGAGCTCGACAAGGTCTGTCTTCTCTTCCCCATCTCTCTCTCTCTCTCAAATCCCCAGCGCTCACATTTGGTCTGCTCTTCTCTTGTAGATGTGCTTGAAGAAAAGGGCCATTGGATTGTACAGGAAGAATGGGATGTTGTTCTTTGCTGCTTCACCTAGCCTTGATGCTCGACCACGTTGCCCCTGGTAAGCTTGATGCTCTCCATCCTCCTTAGATTTGTATATGTCTGCTGCTAAAACAAGAACCACCACCAATTAGCCTGGCATGCCACTGTTTGGGTATTTAATTGCTGCACCATTCCAGTTGAACTGACATATCTCTCTCATGAGGCTTGCTTGTGTTATGTTCCTTTCCACTAACATGAAATTAACTGTGATGTCCTTCTAATTATCTTGTACCAGGAATTTTAGCTAGGACATAAAAGGCATAAAACCTTGAGGAAGGAATTGTGTGTGTCGCAACTGGATAATTTGTGTGAGTTGGATGTATCGTTAGGTGACCAACCTGAATTGTTCTTATTGTTGTTGCATATGTGAAATGAAATTTCTTCTCTTGCTATGTGCTAGCCTGCAATACATGATAAGCACACCTGTCACCATTGGTTCATGTTGTACTATTGAGACATACTGATTAATTTATGGTCTTTCACTCCATTATCCCCTTTTGATTGTTGGTTTGATGTACTCTGCTATGATGCTTCTTGGGTCTATTTAGTTAATTTTCGGTTCTCTTGCTTTATTTACCTCTGCTATGATCTATGTTTTTTAGATATATTTGTTTAAACCCTTCTGATTGTCGCTCTTCTTTGTCTTTTGCAGGTGTTGTTGTTGTGGGTTGGTGCTGCTGCTGTTGCAGGGGCAGCAGTGTCTCCAAGCAAACAGGTTGTTGTGTACCTACGACATATTTCTGTGCTCCTGGATGTGCTACATCACCTCATCCTCTCATTGGCTGCCTCGGTGCCCGTGGCATTCGTGCTCATCGGCGGGACGGTGCAAGGCGCAACTCCGATGCAGTGGCGTGGATGTGCGGTGTAGGAAGCGGTTCCTCGCCGACTGGACGGCGTTCAGGCGCAACCCCGGCGCCCACTAAGTACTGCCTCGGCTACAACCTCCCTCGGTGAGCTCCATCTTCCTCCTGCTCTGCTTCAGCTACTGCATGGGACATGGCTAGGGCTACGATGATCAGTTATGGCTGATATAGGCATGCTCTCGAGCAATCGAGGTACTTGTTGTGGGTATTAATTTGGATCCCCCCTCATTTCTTTGAGCTATTTTGATCACGTTCTTATTTTAATGGCTCTGTCCTTGGATGGTCATTTCTGATGAGTGATAACCAGGGCAGTTTCACCCTCATAAGAACATATTGATCTGGTGATCCATCAAGAAATCCATCGAGAAATAAGGATGCTGATCATCCTCCCGGCTCCTCAGCCGTTTGGGATTCCTGGCCGTCGAATCGGGTGGCTTGATTGGATCTGGGCCGTGGATCGACCCCTGTAACGACCTCGTCCGTCGGATAAAAGAAGTTACTGCAGGAATGAATAGTTACTCCCGTTTCGTGCCACCGCTCGTAAATAGCCTGCCCCGCCGGCGACATTCTCACCATTTCGCTTTGTCTGTGGCGGTGGCGTTCATGCTAGGTGTTGAGGAACGTAGCAGAATTTTAAAATTTTCTACGCATCACCAAGATCTATCTATGGAGTCATCTAGCAACGAGGGAGAGAGAAGTGCATCTACATACCCTTGTAGATCACGAGCGGAAGCGTTCAAGAGAACGAGGTTGATGGAGTCGTACTCGTCGTGATCCAAATCACCGAAGATCCTAGCACCGAACGGATGGCACCTCCGCGTTCAACACAGGTACGGAGCGAGGACGTCTCCCGCGCCTTGATCCAGCAAGGAGGAGGGAGAGATTGAGGAAGAGGGCTCCAACAGCAGCACGACGGCGTGGTGGTGGTGAAGCTGCAGTACTCCGGCAGGGCGAAAGCCAAGCTCTTACGGAGGAGGAGAGGTGTTGGGGATGGGAGGGGCTGCGCCTTGGATGTTGTATGCAGCCCTCCACTTGCCCCTCTATTTATAGGGGAAGGAGGAAGGGGGCCGGCCCCCTCTAGATGGGGGGCGGCGGCCAAGGGGAGGGGGCTTGCCCCCCAAGCAAGGGGGGCGCCCCCTTTAGGGTTCCCCCCCCAACCCTAGGCACATGGGCCCAAGGGGGGATGCGGCCAGCCCATGTAGGGCTGGTTCCCTTTCCTCTACATCCCATTAGGCCCTCCGAGAGAGGTGGTCCCTCCCGGTGGACCCCCGGAACCCCTCCGGTGGCCCCGGTACAATACCGATATGCCCCTGAACCTTTCCGATGACCGTGTGACAACTTCCTACATATAAATCTTCACCTCCGGACCATTCCGGAACTCCTCGTGATGCCCGGGATCTCATCCGGGACTCCGAACAACATTCGGTAATCACATACAAGTCTTCCTAACAAGCCTAGCGTCACTGAACCTTAAGTGTGTAGACCCTACGGGTTCAGGAGACATGCAGACATGACCGAGACGACTCTCCGATCAATAACCAACAGCGGGATCTGGATACCCATGTTGGCTCCCACATGCTCCTCGATGATCTCATTGGATGAACCACGATGTCGAGGATTCAATCAATCTGTATACAATTCCCTTTGTCAATCGGTACGTTACTTGCCCGAGACTCGATCGTCGGTATCCCAATACCTCGTTCAGTCTCGTTACCGGCAAGTCACTTTACTCGTACCGTAATGCATGATCCCGTGATCAACCACTTGATCACATTGAGCTCATTATGATGATGCATTACCGAGTGGGCCCAGAAATACCTCTCCGTCATACGGAGTGACAAATCCCAGTCTCGATTCGTGCCAACCCAATAGACACTTTCGGAGATACCTGTAATGTACCTTTATAGACACCCAGTTACGTTGTGACATTTGGCACACCCAAGGCACTCCTACGGTGTCCGGGAGTTGCACAATCTCATGGTCTAAGGAAATGATACTTGACATTCAGAAAAGCTACAGCAAAGGAACTACACGATCTTTGAGCTATGCTTAGGATTGGGTCTTGTCCATCACATCATTCTCCTAATGATGTGATCCCGTTATCAATGACATCCAATGTCCATAGTCAGGAAACCATGACTATCTTTTGATCAACGAGCTAGTCAACTAGAGGCTCACTAGGGACGTGTTGTGGTCTATGTATTCACACATGTATTACGATTTCCGGATAACACAATTATAGCATGAACAATAGACAATTATCATGAACAAAGAAATATAATAATAACCATTTTATTATTGCCTCTAGGGCATATTTTCAACAGTCTCCCACTTGCACTAGAGTCAATATTCTAGTTACATTGTGATGAATCGAACACCCATGCAGTTCTGGTGTTGATCATGTTTTTCTCTAGGGAGAGGTTTAGTCAACGGATCTGCTACATTCAGGTCCATATGTACTTTACAAATCCCTATGTCTCCATTTTGAACACTTTCATGAATGGAGTTGAAGCGACGCTTGATATGCCTGGTCTTCCTGTGAAACCTGGGCTCCTTGGCAAGGGCAATAGCTCCAGTGTTGTCACAGAAGAGAGTCATCGGGCCCGACGCATTGGGTATGACTCCTAAGTCGGTAATGAACTCCTTCACCCAGACTGCTTCTTGTGCTGCCTCCGAGGCTGCCATGTACTCCGCTTCACATGTAGATCCCGCCACAATGCTTTGCTTGCAACTGCACCAGCTTACTGCCCCACCATTCAAAATATACACGTATCCGGTTTGTGACTTAGAGTCATCCAGATCTGTGTAGAAGCTAGCATCGACGTAACCCTTTACGACGAGCTCTTCGTCACCTCCATAAACGAGAAACATTTCCTTAGTCCTTTTCAGGTACTTCAGGATATTCTTGACCGTTGTCCAGTGTTCCATGCCGGGATTACTTTGGTACCTTCCTACCAAACTTACGGCAAGGTTTACATCAGGTCTGGTACACAGCATAGCATATATGATAGACCCTATGGCCGAGGCATAGGGGACGACACTCATCTTTTCTCTATCTTCTGCCGTGGTCGGGCATTGAGCCGTGCTCAATCTCGTACCTTGCAATACAGGCAAGAACCCCTTCTTTGACTGATCCATTTTGAACTTCTTCAATATCTTGTCAAGGTACGTACTCTGTGAAAGACCAATGAGGCGTCTCGATCTATCCCTATAGATCTTGATGCCTAATATATAAGCAGCTTCTCCAAGGTCCTTCGTTGAAAAACACTTGTTCAAGTAGGCCTTTATGCTTTTCAAGAATTCTATATCATTTCCCATCAACAGTATGTCATCCACATACAATATGAGAAATGCTACAGAGCTCCCACTCACTTTCTTGTAAATGCAGGCTTCTCCATAAGTCTGCATAAACCCAAACGCTTTGATCATCTCATCAAAATGAATGTTCCAACTCTGAGATGCTTGCACCAGCCCATAAATCGAGCATTGGAGCTTACACACCTTGTCAGCATTCTTAGGATCGACAAAACCTTCTGGCTGCATCATATACAATTCTTTCTTAAGGAAACCATTAAGGAACGCCGTTTTGACGTCCATTTGCCATATCTCATAATCATAGAATGCGGCAATTGCTAACATGATTCGGACGGACTTTAGCTTTGCTACGGGTGAGAAAGTCTCATCGTAGTCAACCCCTTGAACTTGTCGATAACCCTTAGCGACAAGCCGAGCTTTATAGATGGTCACATTACCATCCATGTCTGTCTTCTTCTTAAAGATCCATTTATTTTCTATGGCTCGCCGATCAATGGGCAAGTCAGTCAAAGTCCATACTTCGTTTTCATACATGGATCCTATCTCGGATTTCATGGCTTCCAGCCATTTGTCGGAATCCGGGCCTGCCATCGCTTCTTCATAGTTCGAAGGTTCACCGTTGTCTAACAACATGATTTCCAAGACAGGGTTGCCATACCACTTTGGTGCGAAACGTGTCCTTGTCGACCTACGAAGTTCAGTAGCAACTTGATCTAAAGTTTCATGATCATCATCATCAACTTCTTCTCTAGTCGGTGCAGGCACCTCAGGAATATTTTCTTGAGCTGCGCCACTTACCGGTTCAAGAGGTAATACTTCATCAAGTTCTACCTTCCTCCCACTTATTTCTTTCGAGAGAAACTCTTTCTCTAGAAAGGACCCATTCTTGGCAACAAAGATCTTGCCTTCGGATCTGAGGTAGAAGGTATACCCAATAGTTTCTTTAGGGTATCCTATGAAGACGCATTTTTCCGACTTGGGTTCGAGCTTTTCAGGTTGAAGTTTCTTGACATAAGCATCGCATCCCCAAACTTTTAGAAACGACACCTTAGGTTTCTTCCCAAACCATAATTCATACGGTGTCGTCTCAACGGATTTTGACGGAGCCCTATTTAAAGTGAATGCGGCAGTCTCTAAAGCATAGCCCCAAAATAACAGCGGTAAATCGGTAAGAGACATCATAGATCGCACCATATCTAATAGAGTGCGATTACGATGTTAGGACACACCATTACGCTGAGGTGTTCCAGACGGCGTGAGTTGTGAAACTTTTCCACATTTTCTTAAGTGTGTGCCAAATTCGTGACTCAAGTATTCTCCCCCACGATCTGATTGCAAGAACTTAATTTTCCTGTCACGTTGATTCTCAACCTCACTCTGAAATTCCTTGAACTTTTCAAAGGTCTCAGACTTGTGTTTCATTAAGTAGACATACCCATATCTACTCAAGTCATTAGTGAGGGTGAGAACATAACGGTAGCCACCGCGAGCCTCAACACTCATTGGACCGCACACATCAGTATGTATGATTTCCAATAAGTTGGTTGCTCGCTCCATTGTTCCTGAGAACGGAGTCTTGGTCATTTTACCCATGAGGCATGGTTCGCACGTGTCAAATGATTCGTAATCAAGAGACTCTAAAAGTCTATCTGCATGGAGCTTCTTCATGCGTTTGACACCTATGTGACCAAGGCGGCAGTGCCACAAGTATGTGGGACTATCATTATCAACCTTACATCTTTGGT